GCAAAATGTCTCTTTTACCTCCTCAATCCAAGAATAAATGCACTTATTTTAAGAGAAAATGACCTCTCTAGATTTTGATTATTTCCAGTGTACTTTATCCATTTTTAATGTTTCATTCATTGTTTTTGCTCCAGTCTGCCCTGCTTACTATAAACGCGATGTGCAACTCAAGACTGACTCTTTCTCCTTGAGATTAACAGATTTTATATTGTAATTTCCCTCAAAGCGGATGTATTTTACTTTGTAACCACGTCTCTCTTCTTGTGAGACCCATGAAATTGCAGCTGAATTGCTTCATAGCTCAGACTAAAATAGACCTGGGTTCTATCTCAGTCGGAGATACGCTGCCCCCTGCAGGAAATCATCCCCATTGACCCCGGAGTGGAAAACGCCACAACCTCGTTCAAGATGATTTCCTGTTGGATCAGATGCAAAATCGTATTCATTGTGTTCTGGACTTTAAGTTACTTGATTTGATTAAGTGCCTAAAATGAAAGGTTTTATGTCTCCACTCTGTCTATGTGAACTTAAACAATTAAAGTGACTCGTTCCCTCTTTAAAAGCATCTCTGTTTATGGTGTTCTTTGTTTGGTAGTTCTAAGGGTGATTCAAACAAATTTCCATTCTGTTTCCAATTCTTATATTTAGAAATAGATTTTTGACCCGGGGATACTGCAATCCCCAATTATGATATTGGCTCTATTGCACCATTTTAATGTAAAGAAAACTTGGATAAACTTCCCAGTTCTCTCTCAGAATCAGACCTCAGTCACCATAGAAACTGTCCCACAGCGTTTATTACAGTGTTTTTCTTTTCTTTAGACGTAGATTATTTTTTTTTATGTATGAGGGGCTTTGTGACCTAGTGGTTAGGGCATTGCGCTTAGAATCCAGACGTTCAGAGTTCAAGCCTCACTCCCATGGACTGCCACTCTGGATACCTGAGCAAGACCCTTAACCCCACACTGCTCCCCAAGGGGATGGATTAAATGCAGAGGTTCCCCAGCATGAGATCAATTAAGGGCAATTTATTTATTATTTATGAACATTCTCTATCTGTTCTGGTTCTAAATGCTGCACAGACTCATTAAAGGCTGATTTATGCTCAGAAACCAGGTCTGCATGTGTGACGCAGTTAACGCAGATATGCCCTCGGACGCAGCCGCTGTGATCAGGCCTTAATTTTAATAATGTATAGTTAACTAAATCCAGTAACAAAACATTTTAAGATTCTACACCATAGATTACAACTGTATTCTAATTAAAAATATGTTTAGATTTTCTTTGTGAGAAAACTGAGTCGTCAGGATGTGGAGACCGGCTAATTTTCCATTATGATCAGCTCTTCCCTGTCAGTGACCACAGCCAAGAAAGCCTGTTTGATTTGTGAGACTTATCTCTATTTTAAGATATGGTATAGATATGGTATAGTTCAGGATTTATGAAGTGAGTTTCTGTTTAAAGGTTATGAGCAGCTGATCTCTTATTGGTTTTATTGCAGAGAACGAATGCAGATGAGTTGAACCCGGAAACTGAAGCTAACTTTTAGCTTAATGGGAGCCAGACCAAAGCATGCTTGGTGGTGCACCACCATTTATCTCCCAGTGTGAAACATTAATTATC